TGAATTGGGGGTATTGAATTGGGGATATCGGCGTAATTGTTGAAGAAATATCTTGAGACTAATAGAAGCACAACTGGAAGAAAAAGATTGTTTGTGTGAAGTACCCCCACAGCCCTGTCAGATGAACTCAAGTAACCCGTCAATGATACCACCATGCATTGCAACCATTTATCCATTACTTTTAGCAAACTATTCCAACAGTTTGTAATGGCTGTATCAAGAGAGCTTCTTCTAATCCGTCCATGCTGTCTATCCATTACTTTTAGCTATCTGTTTCAACCATCTATCCACCACTTTTACCTAACAGCTTAGACTTTTCTGCCCGCTTGCTCACTCGTTCTGACACTACAGCTGACTTAATATGTGAAAATGTGTTTTTATTCAATTTGGAATATCTACTTTTTAAAAACAGTTGAGCTTACTCAACAATCCTTCCATGTACCTCAAACTGCAGAAGTAACCTCTGCGGTGCCAGTGCCCCTGGTTGGAAATCATTGGCCAAAGTACTGCTCTTAGTGTGAACTGCCACTGTTATACAACTTGCCAGAAACTACTATGAAAAATGACTTGTGTGCCAGGGACTGACTTGTTTTTGGTTTCTGTCAGGGATCTAAGTGTGGATGCCGGGCTGCCCCCTCACCAGTATCACATCCATCCGCTGCCGCAGCACTATCAGCACTACTTGACCTCTCCTAGGATGCACCACTTCCCTAGAAACAATGCCTCAACACAAGTGGTGAGCCCCCTCTAACTCAGTACAATCAATCATGTTCGTCTCGATGAACTCCCAGCTATTCTCCTCTGGGTTTCTCTGGGTTTGGAGATTAATCTCGATACCCAGCAACCGTGGGATGACCTTTGTTCCTATGTTTCTTTCTGATTTCTGCTGCAGAGCTGATGCTAGCTTCTTTTATCTGTCATCTTCTAGGTTGTCCATGAGATCAGAAACTACCCATATCCCCAGCTGCACTTGCTGGCTCTGCAAAGTCTCAACCCCTCCCGCCACGCGTCTGCTGTTAGAGAGAGCTACGAGGTTCGTGCTGCTACGTCCCCTCTCTCTCTCCTCAGCAGACACACCAGTCTGCACTCATTTATCATTGTTTCCTCTGTGACCAACGCTCTGGACAGGCTCGAGTGTGTAACTGATTTTCTTATTTCCAATTACTCCGGGTTCCAGATGCCTCAAATGGTCCAACTGCCTTTAATCTCATGACATTTGTTTTCATTTGAACAAGATGCAATTGTTTTCTGGGAGGCTCTTTCCTGTTCTTTGAAGGACCAATTATTTTATTTCATCAAAGTGTCCCACGCTACGTTTTGCTTTTGAATATTGTATTATACAAATGTTGTTTTAGTTTTTCTTGACAGGCAAATACAGAAATATCTTTTTGTCAGACTTTTACCTAAAGTAATTAAAAAACATGTCCATATCTTGTTTCCTTTGTAGGAGCTTCTGCAGCTGGAGGATAGACTGGGCAGTGTAAACCGTGGAGCGGTCCAAACCACCATAGAGAGGTTCACTTTTCCCCATAAGTACAAAAAGGTAAAAAAAAAAATATATTTTTTAAACTTGCTAGATAAGCGATAGATCTTTTTGATGTGGTCTGGTTCAGATGAAGCATTGGGAAAGAAATAAGTTGAGCTAGATGTAAGAAGAAAAGAAATGGCAGCACTGGGTGGGAAGAATCAAAGAGTGAAGACAAGAGTGGAAAGAGGGTCTCACAGCAGTTCAAAGGTCAAACTAATTTCCGTTAGCAGATTAGTGAGACAGGTCTGCAGTGTGCACAATTCAAGGCTTGGGATGACTCATCCAGCTGTCTGCAGATATGTGCGTGGAATGAATTTAAAAAAGCGTCTACACTGAATGTGACCCAAATACTCTGGAAGGAGTGTCAGATCATTTGGTACATTGTGAGTGAGAAGAAATAATTGAGTCTTTTCCATCTGATCTCTCTTTTTTTTTTTTCTGGGAATTGTGATTAGGTGACTTTTTGTATGGGCTGACTCAGAGACACCCGTGGCACAAACATAACAGCTCCTAATACACAGGCACACTTTAATAATGAAAGTTTCTCTGCAGAGAATACCACAGGACCTGAAGATGTGTCTGGACGATGAGGAGCTGGATACCGATGAGAAGTGCACCATCTGTCTGTCTATGCTGGAGGATGGAGAGGATGTCAGGTACACAATACACTCATCTTTTGCTTTTTCAAGGGGAAAATTGCTGGTTATGCAGATGTGAACATAAGCTACAATTTGTTGTCAGTCGGTCCACCAGTTTTGTCCAGACTAAAACATCTTAACAACTATTGAACTGACATGAATTACTGACTTTGGTGTCAACCAACTTTTCATCTAGTGCCACCAACAGGTTGACCTTTGTGGTTTTGAGTGAAATATCCTGAGAATGTTAGACCGAAAGAAATTTAAATCCCCCTCAGGATGAATTGTAACTGACTTTTATCTAGCGCCACCATCAGGTCAAAATGTGGCTACTACTTTGATTTTTTTGATTATATTGTAAAACTAATGGCACTTCCTCAGCTAAAGTGATAATTATCATGGTAACATGCTAAAATGGCAAACACAATAAACGTAATAGCGGCTTAACATCAGCACTGCTGTGACTGATTATAGCCTCACAGAGTTGCTAGTGTGGCGCTTTTACAGAATGTCTCATTTGACCATAATATTTGTTTTTACATCCATCCTCTACAATGCAGTGGACTTAGACACAGTGTTGTGACCAATATGTACTCTTAGAGCTGGTTAAGGTCTTGTGTCTCCCCAGACAATACTTTCCCTGCTTATTAAACCTTAGAGAAACATTTTCTCTGACATTTCCTAATCGCTTTCCTTCAGAATGGATACACAGTTAGAGTCTAAGCAGTTTTTTTTAACCCTAAATTAGTTCTACCAACTAAGTTCAAAGCATCAGGTTTGAAAATCCCATCAGAGGATTTCTTCCAGCACCTCATCTTGGAAATACTGCCGGAAGGCAACATTAGCATTTCACAAAATCTTATGATGTGTGTCCAGTGTTGTGATCTGTCTAAATGGCAAAGTGACAGAGCATGTTATTTTACTCTGTGGAAAAGAAAAGGGAGGGAGGACGAACAAAGTAGGTGAAAATAAAAAAGGTTTTCCAGGATCTGGGGTGTATTTGGTTGTATTTAAAAGAAGAAAATGGAGCAGTGATACAGTTTGGTTGTGCTGGTGATTATATTGTTTATGCAAAATTCTCTGTTCAAGCATTCATCACTAATTATATTTCAGGCTTTGTTTAGTTCGGAGTCACAGGGTCAAGGTTAAAGAAGACAACTACGAGAAGAGCTTGTGCTTTTTATTCTCTTCACATTTGGCTTTTAATCACTTGGCTTCTTGCTCTAAATACACATGATTGCACCTAAAACACACATAAATCCTTCTTCTAACTCTGTTATAAGGAATAAATGTGTTTTTTAACAGCAGTTTCCCCACGGATAGAATTAAATGCGAGTTGTGAAGTAAAATTTGATCACAAGAAGTCACTTGAGACACAGACAGACAACTGGATCTATTCTAGACACAATCTGAATACCGGGCATGACAGGACCCATGAATCACATGCACATCTAAGATTTATAGGCCTTTAACTTGGCACAGCTGTTTCATACAGCTGTTAAAACTCTTTTTTAGGGGGTTTGGTGTTTACTGACAACATGTATTATTTCAAAGATACACATATGAGACGTTGCAGGACTGATGATCATAA